TGGATTTAAGTCAGTTGTCGACTGTGAATCGATGTTTGCTAGTGGGGTGGGTGGGGTCCTGTTTTAATCTTTTTCATGTAGCTGTCCAGTTTTTCCAGCTGGGGATTCTTTTGTTAAGTGGGGATTCTTTTCTCCAGTGTAAAAAAAATAATAATTTGCCATTTTTAAAAAGTAATATGTTAGGGATTTACTAAGGTAGTCATTCCAGTATCAGAATAGTTATGTCTAAATTAAACAGTGGGCAGTATTAGATTGTTTTGAAAAATTCTCTTCCAGCATTGCTTTGCCTCTTCTAACCACATTGACTGATTTAGTCTATTTTCCATCCATTTAACTTATTAGTCATTTAGTCTATTTTCCAACCATTTTTATTTCCATGTTTCACTCTGTGTTATATTGTTTGATCTGTCCCCCAGTTCATGAATTCTTTTTTAAACTGTGCTAATCTCCTACTAAATTGTCCATTAATGATTAAAATATTATTTATGTCTAAAGCTGTATTTTGTTCTTTTAAAAATTTATTTTTATTTTTTTTCTTTGTTTTTAATCATTGGTCTTTTTTATTAAATGATAACTATGTACATTAATGCAATTCTGGGGTACAGTGTGGTGTTTTCATATACAGTTTGAAATATTTTCATCAAATTGGTTAACATACCCTTCGTGTCATTTTCTTAGTTATTGTGTTAAGACAGTCATATTCTACTCTTAGAAAGATTCACTTGTACCCTTGTAAGATAAACCAAGGAAGTGATCCCTCCAATCACCCTCCCCCCTCCCCATATACTTAGGCTGTTGTTAGGTTATAGATTTTATATGAAAGCTATAAATTAATTTCATAATAGGGCTGTGTACATTGGATACTTTTTCTTCCATTCCTGTGATACCTTGCTAGGAAGAACAATTTCGAGCCCCATCCATGTGAATATGAAGGACGTAAAGTCTCCATCTTTCTTTAGGGCTGCATAGTATTCCATGGTATACATATACCACAGTTTGTTGATCTATTCATGGATCGATGGGCACTTGGGCTTCTTCCATGACCTGGCAATTATGAATTGGGCTGCAATAAACATTCTGATACAAATATCTTTGTTGTAATGTGATTTTTGGTCTTCTGGATATATTACCTAATAAAGGAATTGTAGGATCAAAGAGTGGACAGGAGTAGACATTTTTTTACCAGTGAAGTTACATTAGATCAAGGACAAAAAAAATGACCTGTGGGCAAAATTCAAGCGCTCCTTGTTTCATAAAGTTTTATTAGAATGCAGCTATGTGAATGAATTTATATATTGTCTATAGCTGCTTTATGCTACAATAGAAGAGTTGAGTGCTGAGACCTATGTCACACAAAGTTGAAAATATTTACTATCAGATTCTTTTCTTTTTTAGACAGTCTTATTATGCCACCCTCGGTAGAGTGTTGTGGCATCACAGCTCACAGCAACCTCAAACTCTTGGGCTTAAACGATTCTCTTGCCTCAGCCTCCCAAGTAGCTGGGACTACAGGTACCCGCCACAATGCCCAGCTATTTGTTGTAGTTGCCACTGCTGTTTTGGTAGGCCCAGAATGGGTTTGACCCCACTAGCCCTGGTGTATGTGGCTGGCGCCCTAGACCCTGTGCTACTGGCACTGAGCTACTACCTGACTCTTACCAGGAAAACTTTGAAGACTTTAGGCTACATAATTAAAAAAATATATATCTCACCTAGGAAACCTTTTAAAAATGCATTTTTAATAATAAAAATCTTCATAGAAGCATTTAGAAAGATGACAAGATGGTGACATTTAACAAAAAAAAAAATCCTCAGTATAATCAGAACACACGGAGGCAGCCTATTCAGAGCAGAAATTCGTTACTGGAAGAAAAATAAGGGAAAGTCTCTCTCACTCTGGTCTGCACTGTCTCTCAGGAAGCTTTGTAGTGGGAAGAGATGTGTGTGGTTGGCTCCTCTGAGTCAGGCTGAGCCAGACCCAGCAAGCTTTGTTCATACACATTTATAATTATTACATATTTCTGTTAAAGTAGCCCTTTTATTAACATGTTATGACCCACTTTTTATCTGGTAATACTTTCTGTATTAAATTATTATTTGCCTGAAATTAATGTGTTAACATCATCCTTCTTTTGGTTATTATCTTCCTAACATATCTGTTTTCATATGTCCAATTTTGTTAAAAGTATTTATTATAAACTTGAATTTTCTTTTTTATTTTTATGGAAACAATCTTTGTATGTTAATTAAAGTGGTGAATCCATTTATAATGTAATTATAGATATACTGAAGTTTAAGTCTAACATCTTGCTATTTCTTTTATTTTTTTCTTTGTTCTTTTCTTCTTCCTTTCCTCAATTTATGTTGACCAAATAATCTTGACTATCTCACTACATCATTTCTAATAACTATTTTATATATCTCAATATTATTGTTGTAGTGACTACTCTATTACAACAAACATACTTAGATTATTACAGTTTATCCTAAAGTAATATCTTCACCACATCCTAAATGATGGAAAACCAACACAACAGTTTTATTTCTCTTGCCTTTTTAGGGCATTTTTGCTACTACTTTTTCATATTTTACTCCCAGATTTTTTTTAAATACTACAAAACATGGTTATTATGGATTTAAACAGTTATCTTTTTATTGTAGGAAAATATACATAGCATAATATTTATTATTTTTAATAATCTTTTTATTTACGCATTTATTTTCTTCAGTTCTGCTTATTTCTTTGCATTCTCTGCTTATTTCTAGTGTTTCTTTGCTTATATTTACAATCAGTTTCTGAGAGCCCAGAGAATTTCCTTTGGAATTTTTCTATAGTCAGATTCAGAACTGCTATTGTTGAATACTCTTTGCTTTCATTTGTTTAAGAACGTGGTTTTGTTCTCTTTTATTTTTGAAGTCCACTTTCACTGGTATAGAGTTCTCTATTGACATGTAATTTTCAGCATTTTCGTAATGTCAAGACATGATTTTCAGGCTGCGTATTCACTCTTACAGAGTTAGCTGTTCTTTTTACTGTTCTCCTGGAAGAAATACTTTTTTTACTGTGTTGTTTTAAGTTTTTTCCTTTATCTTTGGTATTCAGCAAAGTCTCAGGATAGTTTTACTTTGTACCATTTTGGGATTTGCTGAGATTTCTAATCTGTAAGTTGATTTTGTTTCTCAAATTTTGAAACATGTGAGCTATCAAATTTTCAAATATTGCTTCTGACTGCACTGGCCCCCACTTTTGAAATTCTAATTAGACTTATGTATATTGCTTGATGCCTCACCTCACTTTTCTATGTTCTGTTTTGTTTTCTGTTGTTGCTTATACATTTTTATCCTTCTATACTTCAATTTGGGTATTTCTATATTTGAACTTTTCTAAGTTTAACAAGTTTGTATTCTGCTGTGTCCACTACTCTTAAGTTCATCTGAGGAATTGTTATTTCAAGTATTTATTGTGCAATTTTAGGACAGCATGTGATTTTTTTAATAGAGTCCATTTTCTTTTTAATATTTTTATCTTTTTTCTTTTTTTTCCCTATATTTTCTTCAAAATACTTAGAATAGCTATTATAAGGACCTTTGTACTGATTCTAAGACCTGGATTTAAAGTGTCTGCTTCTAATAGCTACTTATTTTCTCTTCTTGGTTACATTTTTCTGCTTCTTTGTCTTTCCTTAAATTTTTATTCAAAATGTTATATTTTTTGGAAAATGAATGTAATGACTAAAGTTTATATTAATTACTACCACCAATAAGAGTGTTTGCTCTTTTATAATCACTTAGGAGTTGACCTCAGATGGCCCCCCTGGGTCACAGGTTTAGTTTGAGTCATTCCACTTTGGTTTCAAAAGTCTCAAAGAAAAGACCTTCTTGGATTAGTTCATCAAGAACTTGGTGTTTTGGTGTTTTCTTTCTCCATCACAAAAGACTATGACTGATATATCTGCTTTCCTGTTGTTTTGATATCTGCCCTTAAATCCTGCCGTGAATGACTTTCATGCATGGCATATGTTTTGATGAGAATACCAACTATGCATCAGAGGCAGGCCCCTTTTCTTGTTAGGTATTTTTTTTTTTTTCTGTAAGACTATGGATAATTTCATTCTTCCCTGAACATGATGCTTATGGTCTAGCAAAGCACCCTAGTTCTGCAGAATTTCAGAATTTTTCAAAAAGACACAGTCTCCCAAAGTTTGTCTTGTTCTTCCTTACCTCATTACTATTCTTCCATCCAGGCTGAATGGAAGTCTAATCATTGATCTATATCCAGAATTGCCAAATAGAACCAAGTAAGAAGTAGCCGAAGACCATATGTTGACTTGAAACAAGTCCTTTCCACTTAGGTTTTGTTCATTTAAACCTCTTTGCTCCACAATTTGCTTTTAAACACATACAGACACACATACACACATTTGTTGTTTTCTCAATTTACAGTGGAAACATTGTTCTTTTCCATCCTAGTCTACTTTACTTGGGGTATAACCATATCATTTTGTAGCATCTTGCCATGCTTTATTTTTCTAACTACTGTAGAATGTAGTTCTATCTGTAATCCATATTATACATTTCTTTAATTACCTATTTAAAAACTGGCTTCCCTACTAGAATGGAAACACTTTGAAAATGGGTACTTGGTTTTACTCTTTTTTTTTTAAATTAGAATACTTATAATCAATAGTTTCCAAATTAATGAAAAAAGAGTAGAATACTCTGCAGCAATGAAGAATAATAAAGTACACATACCTATTGCTCTGGAAAGTTCCTGAGGTTATTTTTGCATAGTGGTCATTCTCATAAAATTATGTGGATCCAACTTTCATAAGGTAAAATGTATATTTCATATATTTCTATGTATGTGTATAAAAAGACATACATTTGGATAGACCTGTATCTCTATATATATTTTTCAAAAAGCAAAAATGACCCACTGTATATATACTATGTATTTGAAAATATATTTTAAACACTTATTTTGTTTTTATTATTTGTAGATTGTAAAGGACCTCCTCCAAGAAGAAGTCTAGAAATTCTGACAGGTTCCTGGCCTGATGAAACATATCCAGATGGCACTCAAGCTGTCTATAAATGCCGGCCTGGGTATAGAACTCTGGGAAATATAATAATGGTATGCAAGAATGGAGAATGGGTGGCTGTTAATCCAGCAAGGGTGTGTCAGAGTAAGTACTTGGCATGTTTGTTAAATGTATGAAAACTTACAGGTGTAAAATACCAAACATTTAATATTGCAGCAACACTGACTGAATTATATCACTGTTGTCATTTAAATGCAAAATAATACATCATCATCTTTTTTTTTTAAGATAGATTCTCACTCTGTTGCCTACACTAGAGTGCCATGGCCTCAGCCCAAGCTCCTTGCAACCTAAACTCCTAAGCTCCAGAGATCCTCTTGCCTCAGCCTCTGAGTAGCTGGGACTACAGGTGTCCACCAGGAGGCCTGGCTAATTTTTCTATTTTTAGCAGAGATAAGATCTCACTTTTGTTCAGGCTGGTCTTGAACTCCTGAGCTCAAGTAATCTTCCCACCTCGGCCTCACATTGCGCTGGGATTACAAGTGTGAACCACATGCCCAGCCAATGCACCGTCATTTCTAAAAAGCAGTGGTAACCCCTCCAGATTAAAACCACAAGCATGCACATAAGTTCAGTTATAAAATAACAGCTTTGCCACTTTCAGTTTTCTTATACTCAATGTTGTCTTCTATTACAATACCAAATATCCTTGTCCCCCAAATCCTACATAAAATGTATTTCCTGTAATATATGCTGATATATCTTTTTGTTTTTCATTTTAGAAAGGCCCTGTGGACATCCTGGCGATACTCCCTTTGGTTCTTTTCAGCTCACAGTAGGAAATGAGTTTGAATATGGTGCAAAGGTTGTTTATACATGTGATGAAGGGTATGTAGTCAACATAAAAAGAGGTTTATAATTAAGATGGTAAATAAGAACTGTATTAATTAATATGTTTAAGGGGACTCTATTTATCTATGAGCACTTTTTTTGGTTAATTTATATCCAACTTTTATTTTTGTAAATGATTATTTTAACTATGAGCATTTTTGCAAGTAATAGACAAGTAACTCAAAAAACTAAACTCTGTTGGGAAGGATTACATTTTTATACCATATTATATTTTAAATATTAAAAAAAATTTAAATTATAACTCTTTTGATACAGTGTAGTTATAGAATGGTAAGAAAACAGTATACACATAAACATGTATGCCCTCCACATGTCTTCAGTATGTTCTAGTATGTGCAGAGTATTACAGGAGTTCAATGTGTTAGGAACAGTGGGAATTGTAACAGAATTGCATGGTAACTATGACAAAAGTATCTAAAATTTAAGGGAAGTAAAATCTTTTCTTGCTTATAAATTTTCCTTTTAACTAATGTTACTTAAGTGTCTATGGTCTGCAAATTATTATTATCACTTGGATCAAAAAAAAAGAAACAACAACAATAAAACTATTCTTTCAGAATTATCAACTCTGCCTTCTAACCACCCACTGGATTTTCACAGCAAATCTCCTCACTCTATCTTCTCAGTGCTCTTCCTTCCCTGGTATGCCCTTCCAGGTCAAAAATTATTTTGAAGAAAATTTTATATACGGAAGAACCAAGATCAGATAACTATAATTTTATGCTATATATATAAATATAAACAGAATCAAATATTACAGATGATATTGTATTAGTCTCCCTTTACTTATTTCTTGATTTGAAACAAGAAAATGTAATAGTTTGAAGCTCAGGCTTTGGAGTAAGTCTGAATTTCAAAACTGCATTATTAAATATTATGTGTATTTAAAACAATATCTCTTTACTCCCATTTCCACTCTTATGAAATAAAAGAATATGTGCATGATGGGATTGGTGGGATAAATAAATAAGACACACACTTGAAGTACTTAGAAGACCTCTTAAGATACTGTAGACATGAAGAAGTATTAATCCTTATGAATTTAGTCTCTTCATTGTCATCACCTGACAGTTTTTTCAGACATATTTTCAGTTCAAATTTCAGTCATTACTGCTGATCTTATTACACATAACCAAATAGATTAAGATTTTTCTGGGCCTGATTTTCATTTGCTCTTCACCTCTGAAATATCTCTTCTCTTGCAGGATAGTCTTCCCTCTTTGGGTCACATGCTTGACCTAGCAAAGGCAATCAAAATTCATTGATCTATATCCTCTGGCAATGATTCACATTTTGCACATGCCTCAAGGAACTTATGTCGAGTTTAGCATATTATATTCAAAAAACAGTCTTGATGGGATACTTTAATAAGACAAATTCAACTTTAGATGGGCTAGATAAGGAGATCTGAATCATTGATCATACTCTGGAAAGAGTCCGTAGTATAGAGATGAGGAGATGGAGACAAAATAAACCATATGCCAATAACTTTGGTTGGAACTATCTTTGATTAAGCAGAGAAACTAAACTATCTTCAAAATATCAGAATTGTAGAAAGCAGAAATATGGCATGAGACTGGAGAAGAGGGAAATATATGGCTAATTGGTTACTCTGACATTTTTAACTTTTGTTTTTATGATGGTTCATGGAGCTTATTATATTACTGAATGCAGCTAATTCATTCAATGAAAAATAAGAGTATTGTGAATAAAACAATAATTTGTCATGAATCAGGTATTATGATTATTTTAAGCCCATGCACCAGAGGGCCTGCAGGGTCTGAAAGAAAGAAAAGAAAGAGGGAGGAGTCAATGGGGTAGGGAGAGAGAGAGAGAAAGAGAGAGAGAGAGATTCAATAAATTTAAGAAAGAAAGAAAAGGAAAGGAGGAAGGAAGGAAAGGAGGGAGGGAGGGAAAACATTGCAGAAGAGAGGAATAGAAAGAAAGAAAATAATCATTTCTCAGCCTTTTGGCTAAGATCAAGTGTAGTACCTGTTCTTATCAGTTTAAAAAGAAAGAAAATACATATGTTACTTTGCTTTGAAATGGAGTTTATGGACATTCAGAATGGTATTGAGCTTAAACTGCATATAAATGCATATAATCTCACTGCTCTGTTATTTTTGGGTTTTCAGGTTTCAAATGATAGGTGAGACTGATTTCCGTGAATGTGAAGCAGATGGATGGTCCAATGATATTCCTGTATGTGAAGGTAGATGTAAACTTGATTTACAAGGACACTGAAATACCTAAAATATCTAAGACTTTTAAAATGTCTCCCATTAAAATACCCTTAGAAGTCTCTAATTAAATATTTCTCATTTAATTTATCTCTTGGCTTTTCATCTAATACAGGTGGGAATCTAGTCTTTTTGTTACAACCTTGTTTAATATTTCAGTAAGCAAATATGACTATAGCCTGTTTTGACACAATAATGAAAATATTAGACATTAAAATCATAAAACTCATTTTTCTTTCCTTTTGGCTTCTCATGACTAGAAATGCATATATTATCTCTAGCTTAATGAAGACTGGAATTTCAGCTTTATCAATGAAGAAACACTCACCCAGTAACCACCCTACTGTAGGGATCTGTTGCAACAGCTGTGGTAGAGAACATGAATGAGATATCCCCTCCCCATTCCTCACCAATGGAGGTCATCCTGTGATCTCAGCTTCATTGCAAAGGCATGAAACAAAAGAGAGCTCTGATATACATATTGCAGTTTTTGGCCGGGGCTGGGTTTGAGCCCACCACCTCTGGCATATGGGGCTGGTGCCCTACTCCTTCGAGCCACAAGCGCCGCCCAGCTCTGATATTTTTTGCTGAGTGAGAATGAGAAAAATAGAACTCATATTTCCAAGTTTTGAGCTTATTATCCAAATCTCTAGTCAAAATAGTTCTAGTTCTGGGGTGGCTCCTGTGGCTCAATGAGTAGGGCACCGGCCCCATATACCAGAGGTGGTGGGTTCAAACCTGGCACTGGCCAAAAACTGCAAAAAAAAAAAAAAAAAAAAAATAGTCCTAGTTCTATGGTGAGTGCTAACTGGGGGATAGTGGAGAAAATGTCATAATCATTCAAAAATTCTGTCGGTGAAAGGAAATGGAGGACTTTTCACCTATGGAAGTGAAAGGAATATGTAAGTGAAAGGAAGGAGTTAATATTCTAGGGAACATCTGCAGCAAAGTCACCCAGATGCTTGTTAAAAATTGAAATTTTGAGTTATTAAAAGAGATCTACTAAATCAATATCTTTGAGGTGATAGGGCAGTGAGATGGCCCAAGAAGTTTCATTTTAACAAGTATCTGGGGTCATTCTATGGTAAAATCAAATTTGAATACTATAATCTTGGAGAAATTAGAAAATATTAGGTAAAACCAAAAGAAGTACTCAAATTATTTTGAACCCTATCAACGAGGATAGAAAATTAAGGATGATTTCTCTATTAAAGTAAATATGACTTTAATTACATAAAGATTGCTTTTATATCTTTTAAGACTGTAATGTTACATTATTCTGCAGAGTATATGGAAAATTTCCACTTAATTACCCAAGCTTCATATTTCTTAATTATTTAAGAAATGCTGTTACTATAAAATTACAAACTAGTATTCAAAGTAATAAATTTCTTTGCTCACTTCCACAGAAAAGAATTAGAGATAAAAATATTACTTTTTTTAGTTGTTTCTTAGCAGTGTTTATCTTTTGTCAACAGGTATATCAAATGCTTCTAAAATCCACTTAAATAATTTCTTCCAATCTTGTCTTGCTAAAGATTTTATTCATATACACAATTTTTTTCATGATAAACCTTTTAAATTCTATTAGGAAAAAAGTTATTTTTATTTTTCAGTTGTTAAGTGTTTGCCAGTGAGAGACCCAAAGAATGGAAGACTTATCAGTAGTGCAAAAGACCCAGACCAGGAATATTCTTATGGACAAGCAGTACATTTTGAATGTAATGCAGGCTTTAAGCTTGATGGACCTAAAGAAATACATTGTTCAGAAAATGGTTTTTGGAGTGCAGAAACACCAAAATGTGTGGGTAAGATACATTTACTATTTGTTTGTTTGTTTGAATATTTTTAGTTTTTCTTATAAAAATTGCATTTTAAAACAATGTTCATTAGAATGATGAAAATAAAAAAAGAGAATACAAATAATACTACTAATAGCTATTGTTCTTTGACTTTTCAGTAATGGCCATTCTAATAGGGGTAATGTGGTATTTCATTGTAGTTTTAATTTGCATTGACTTAACACTTAGTGAGCATTTTTGTTGTTGTTGTTGAGCATTTATTCATTTTCCTTCAAGATTTTTCTATCTTCTTTTAAAAAAACTTTCGTTCATAACTGTTGCTCTATTTTTGATAAGGTTGTTTGTTTTTCTTGCTGATTTGTTTGTGTTCTTTGTAGATTCTGGATATATGCCCTTTGTTTGATGTATAGTTGGCAATTATTTTCTCTAATTTTATAGGTTGTCTGTTCACTCTGTTGATTATTTCCTTTGCTTTTCAGAAGCTTTTTATTTTAATTAAGCTCCAATTATTTATTTTTATGTTTACTGAATTTGCTTTTGAGATCTTAGTCATACATTCTTTGCCTAGGCTAATGTCTGGAGTTTTTGCTTTGCTTTCTTCTAGAATTTTTGTGAGTTCATGCCTTATATTTAAAGTCTTTTTATTTGTCTTAAATTAATTTTTATGTATGGTAGAAGATAGAGGTACTACTTCATTCTTCTGCATGTGGTCATCCAATTTTCCCATTACTATTTATTGAATAGGGCTTCCTTTCCCAAGTGTATATTGTTGTCTGCTTTGTTGAAGATCAGTTGTCATAACTATGTGGTTTTATTTCTGGGCTCTCTATTCTGTTCCTCTGGTTTATATCTCTACTTTTATCCAGTACTATGCTGCAAAGTTAAAAGCATTCCCCCTAAGAATTGGAACAAGACAAAAAAGTTTCCAGTGTCACCACTTCTACTCAACATAATGTTGGAAGTCCTAGGCAGAGCTATCTGGCAAGAGAAAGAAATAAAGCGCATCCAAATCAGGAAAGAAGAGTTTAAACTATCCCTGTTTACTATGATATGATCTTATATCTAGAAAACCCCAAAGATTTCACCAAAAGACTCCTACAATTGATAAATAAATTCAACAGAGTCTGACGTTATTAAAATCACATAAATCAGTAGCATTTATAGCATATATGCTAATAACAGTCAAATCAGGGACTCTATATGATTTTCAATAACTATACTGAAACTAAAATAGCTCAGAATATACTTAACCAAGGAGGTGAAATATCTCTACAAGGAGAACTACAAAACACTGATGAAAGAAGTCAGTGATGACACAAATGACACAAATGAAAAAACATCCCCTACTCATGGATTGGCAGAATCAACGTTGTTAAAATGTCCATACTGCCGAAAGCAATTTCCAGATTCATTGCAATCCCCATTAAAATATCAACATGATATTTCACAGTTCTAAAAAAAAAAAACAAACCCTGAAATTCATTTAAAATCAAAAAAGAGGCCCAAACAGCCAAGGCAATCTCAAGCAAAAGGAACAAATCCAAAAGCATCACATGACCTGACTTTAAATTATACTACAAGGAGTTCTTTCAATCACACACTAGTTCTTCACGTTAAAAACTTAATAGTTTTATTCAACATAGCAAATACCATATACTTTAGAGGTTCATAGATGGAGTTTGCATTCTTACAACTAGATTTCTGTGGTTTGTGAAAATTCCTGGAATGAATGGTATCTTAGTTAAGTCTTAAAGAAAGAACAAAGATTTATTTATTTTAATTGAAAATGAGAACACATGCATACTAGTCAGAGGAAGTTCATGGAAAGGAAAGTGGAAAGACAGGGAGGCGTACAGGAGTGTGAAGTCCCACTGATCCTTGTTCATTGTTCATAAGGCCTTTAGTGTAGGATGCCAGGAGAGGATAAGTCAGAGAAGTACTGAGGAGAGGCCAGTACTGGGTGCTGGGTACTACCATGCTGAAGAACTTGACTTTTATTTAGACTGATTTGGAAATCAATGAAGGATTTCGAGTGGAAGAATGAGGTGATCACTTTAAAGATCACTAAATTATACACATGGAAATGGATTTAAAAAGTGGGAGAACAGGATTTGGGAAAAAAGTTACTATTGCCACAATCCTGTAAAAAATATTTGAGAGAAGTGATGTCAAAGATGATGGCTATTTTCTTTCTTCAGAAATCCTGGATAAATAGTAAAGGCACAAAAGCAGATCACTTATTTTTCAGAGATGGAATGACAATGAATTAAATGAATTTCTTTGACAAAGTATTCGATTGATAATTAGTGTTTTGTTAATATCTAGACAATGCATTTTTTTTCAGGTCACTCAGTGAAAATACTTATCAAAATAACCCTATATTAATAATTCAATTTCACATATATATTTGATGAATGTTACTGCCTACCAGTTATTTCAAGAGGACTAATTTATCCTCAAACTAAATAAAATTAGAAACATAATTTTAATTAGGATTTTAACTTCCTTCAAAAATAAATATTAATAATAACAAATAAATTGCCAAGCAGTCACATCAAAACAGAACTTTTGTTTGTTCTAGATAATTTACCTCTGGAAACAAAAATACATTTTATATGATTGTATCTTTGTCACAATCCATTAATTTGTAGAAACATTTTCAAATTTAGTCCCTTCTTTTCAGAAATTTCCTGCAAACCACCAGAAGTCAGGAATGGATATGCATTATCTAATAAGAATATTTATAGAGAGAATGAACGATTTCAATATAAATGCAACCAAGGATTTGAATACAGTGCAAGAGGAGATGCTGTATGCACTAAAGTTGGATGGAGTTCAGAGCCTTCATGTGAAGGTAATGTTTTTATTTTCTCTTTTGTTATATATATTTCAATTTTTTAAATGAATATAATTCTTTTCATTAAACAAGTTATTTTTCTCAAAGATAGGGTACTAATTTTCATAGGAATTGACTTTTCAAAAGATCATATATCAGAGAATTTTATGTGTGTAAGGTCCTTTCAGATCCTCTTACTCTGAAGATAGACATTAAACAGGGTCAGAAAATTGCAGTATCTGTTAAAATAGTTAAAAGTCAAAAATTATGTCTAGAGCAGATTCAGGGCTATGGCTTTCTAATTCCTAGTAAAATGCAATTCTCAAACAGATTGAACGTCCAATACCCTAAGTATTTGAAATTATATCACTATTTTAATAATATTTTTAAATAAACTACAATAATACCAACAGATGTGGAAACCTTAATTAACAATGAAATTAAGTGAAAGGAAATGGAAATTTTCATTAACAATAAGTTTAGGGGCAGTGCCTGTGGCTCAGTGGGTAGGGCGATGGCCACATATACTGAGGGTGGCGGGTTCAAACCCAGCTGGCCAAACTGCAACAAAAAAATAGCTAGGTTTGTGTTGGGCACCTGTAGTCCCAGCTGAGGCAAGAGAATTGCCTAAGGAGGCTGAGGCAAGAGAATCGCCTAAGCCCAGGAGTTGGAGGTTGCTGTGAGCTATGTGAAGCCACGGCACTCTACCAAGGGCGATAAAGTGAGACTCTGTCTCTACAAAAAAAAAAAAAAAAAAAAAACACACAATAAATTTAGAATGAATCAATAGTAGGAGGGAACCCTAACTTTCAGGTTTCATTATGGAAGGATGTTATATGGAGCCAAAGAGTTAATCTCAACTATATTTTTGCCCACCAAAAAATACATCTAGAATATTGTGTTGTACTTAGTCTAATTTTAAAAGGGATGGTGTCAAAGTATCATGGCCTAGAATAGAGAATATAGATAATCACAGAGTTTAAGAAATTATGCCATAAGAAGAATAGCTAGAAGATAACAGCTGTAGTGTGCTAATAGCTACCTTGAGATACTCGAAACATTTCTGAAAAGGAGTAAGTTAGCTTTTGATGAGGGCTGCTGTGACAAAGGAAACAAGAAACAGTTATCGTATGTAGTCTAGTAACCTTCTGATAGGATGAATTGTACAGATACTGCCATCCTGTAGTGGGGAGGAAGAGTTGAACTCTTAAGAGCCCGCTATACTTTAATTCCTCTGATTTGTAATTATATGTATAAACCTCGCTTTTGTTTTACAAAATTAGAGTTAATTTTGGGCCTATTTGATCCCAAAAGTAGTTCCTTGGAAGACATTAGTGATCTCTACTTTTAGGCACTGGTAAGAAAATGTTTTAGAAAAAAAGATTAATGAACACATGGAAAGATAACCCACATTAGATTCGGGTTTGACTGATAGTCTCTAGAGTCCAGCAGTTTGTCTTCACGACATTCAGGTTCTGAAGCAAAGGAAGTGTCTGCACAAGGGTTCTAGAATTAATATCCACCATATGTTTATCTCCAGAGACCCACTCAGATAGTTAATTTATCCATCCAATCATTAAAATGTAAATTATAAACAACTTATTTTATATCAGAGTTAGGTGGCTTGAAAAGGTCAGGAGACCATGGCCACTTAGTGTGGAAAGTGAATAGGAAGTAAAGCAGTGGTTTACAGATGGATTTCAGGCAATGCAGAATGTCCACCAAGCCTTTTATTACAAAACACAATGTAACATCAATATATATTGTTATATAACTTTTCTCCAATGCTAAAAATGCATAGTATTTCATTAGAAAGGGAATATTGCAGATTGAACCATATTGAGATATAGCAGAGTTGATGGTGAGCAGTTAATTAGGACAGACCAAGTCAAATAATGGTAAACTAGAGGTTGCAGGTCAAATACTGCCCCCTTCAGCTGGAGCACAGCTATGCCTATCTGTCTATGTATTGTTACAGTTACTTTGTGCTATAATGACATAGTTGCAACAGAGACCTTCTATCCAGGCGGCTAATGCCTATAATCCTAGCACTCTATAAAGATGAAGTGGGCGGACTGCTTGAGCTCAGGAGTTCGAGACCAGCCTGAACAACAGTGAGACCCCATCTCTACTAAAAATAGAAAAACTAGCCAGGGGTGGTGGCACAGGCCTGTAGTTCCAGGTACTCAGGAAGCTGAAGCAAAAGGATCACTTGAGCCCAAAAGTATGGGGTTACTGTGAGGTATGACCCCACAGCATTCTGGCCTGGGGCAATAGAGTGAGACTGTCTAAAAAAAAATAAAAAGAAAGAAAAGAAAGAAACAAAGAAAATATTTTCCAAACACTCTACTAGGTTATACCATTATAGTGAGAATAATGTATTGTAATATCTCAATATCTTAATAAACTAAAGTTTATTTCCGGTTCATGTTCTCTTCCCCAATATAGGTCAGAAGGGACTCTACTCATTGTATTAGTAGTAAGAATCAAATGAGAGGCATTGTCTTTTCAGGTCCTTCTTCAATCACTACAGCTATAAGAAAGGTATCATAAAGGAATGTTAAAACTACCTCCCTAAAGTGAAAGATATTACTTACACTTTTATTACATTCCCCTATTTAATCATATGGCCACATTTTCTTCAAAGGGAAAGGAATGTAATCTTATCAATTGTCTGGAGGGAGGAGACCCTGAACATTCCAAAAAAGTTCTTATGAAAATGACAGAAACCAAAGAAGTAGCAGGAAGAAAGTGGGAGGAGTCGATGTTAAATATGACGAGGTCATTGCCAGATGTGAATTATCACAAAGTATGAGCTGACTTAATAGAAAGAGTGATTAAGAGCCCAGGAGGCACAAATTTATAAGAACAATGCACAAAGGGAAGGGGAACATGAGAATTACAGCAGGAGTGATATGTTGTGTTCATTTTAATGCCATTTTATACTAGGATAAAGACAGTTAAGTAGCATACGCCTTTTACATTTTTGTAGTCTTCATTAATTTAATGAATACTGATTTCTAAATTATCCAAATATCACTTTTTTCCAGAAGTGTCATGTAATCCTCCTTATATTCCCAATGGTATCTTCTCACCTGTGAGGATTAAACACAGAACTGGAGATGAAATCAGGTATGAGTGTAAAAACGGTTTTCAGCCTGCAACTCATGTAAATACAGCAACATGCACGAGTGGTGGCTGGTCACCTCCTCCAAGATGCACCTGTAAGTTCCATTCTTATTCTGACTCCCTTCTTAATTCTCAGATAGCTTTCTCTTAAACACATAAAATATACGGACACAGTAAAGCCAAAGATTTGTCTTGTGTGTATAAAGTAAAGCTTTTAGAAGCAGTCTTCACTATGCAAAGTAACCAATTTTAAATAGTATGAAAACAGTATAGTAAAGTAAAAACAATTTTTTCCTACTCCAAATTAAAAAATGGGTGTGTTCATGAATGTATGTTTCTCTAATTAATAAATACTTCCAAATACTGGGTAAAAATAGTGCCATTTAACACATAGTAAATGAACTTTTTTTCAGTAGCAAATTTGCTGAAAAATATGGTTGCTTAAAAGAGCAAACTTTTATTATAGCAGTTTCTATGGGTTAGGTGTTTGAGAGGAGCTTAAACCTGTATCTGGGAATCAGACTGTCTCCTTGTGTTACAGTCAGGACAGGAGCCCAGGCTCCAGTCATCAGAAGGCTTCCTGGGCAGGAGGATCTGTTCCTACCAGACTCAGTCACATGGCTGTTGTCAGGAGGCCTCAGTTTCTTACCACATGGTCTTCTTCATGGATTGATGGGATGGCAGCTAATTCTCTCTGGAGCTACAGATTGGAGAGTATAGGAATCTTTGTAGATAACATTTATTATTTACTCCAGCCATCTCTACTCTTTATAAGTGAGATGCTAATCCCAGCACATATCCCAGGGGAGAAAAATTAGACTCCACTATTTGCTAAATACTTGTCCAGTTTCCTACAACTATCATATGTAGCAAAATGCCATTTAAGTTAACAGAGCATTTTATTTCAGGGATGTTTCCTTTTCCCTTTTTCCTGTTTTTTCTTTTTTTTTTTTTTCCAACTCTACAGTCACATTACTTTTCCTTCTATCTCAACAGTTTAATGGTTCAGGGGAAATGCAGTACACTATTGGAATGATATTGGTGGTGATAATACTGAATCTGCCTTAGAAAAGGTTCATCATTCAAAGAGACTCCTATTGCTAGGATGAATCAATTAAGATAAAGTTCACCAGTGATTTGAATAAAATTCTGGACTTGTGTCAAGGAAATTAGAGTTCACACATGCTAGCAACAGTTAAGAAATTAGTGACTATTTTAATCAATATTAAGATCAACTTGAGTCAAACTATGATGGAACCACCATAACTGCTGTGATACTACAACTTACTTTGGGAGAAGTGTAAGAAGTGGAATGAGAATGCTGTAAGTCCTGCCATGCTCAATGCTGACCAGACCCCACGAGAAATATTATATTTGCTCTAGGGAAGCACTTGTAAAAGGGGCAAAGACAAATGCAGATATGCTCAACCAGACAGAATAGTGAAGGAATTCAAGACTGTGGTAATAAAAATACCTACTTTTAATTATGCCTCCTTCTTTGTATCCTTTTAAAAGAAATCTCGATGGACCATTTTATTCTATCAATATGTGCACTCTGTGAAACACCATAATAAGGTGAATATTTGTTTTGAAATCCACCACTAAGTTTTACATCTCTGTCCTACAGATTAATAGGGAAGTTAATTGAGTTCTTAAAGACATAGTTCCTGCAAATCCAAAGACTCTAACTCGCCTAATGCAGGAAATGATACACGTCTTGATAGATGATGGTGAAATATGTACAGTCCTGTGGTAAATATAAAACTATCCAAATCTTTAAAAAGCATTAGAGAGTAATGTTGAATGTTACTTAAAATAAATGAGACTAAACAAATATTTTAATTTCAACATTAGAAGCTTGAAATAAGTGGGGATAGAATTGTTCAATATAAAATAAATGGTCTGCTGGCCCAGAAGTTACACCTAAGAAGTATCACTCAGTAGTCTTTCTCAAAGAAGATGTTTAGTAAATCCAAAATTCGAAGGTTATAATCCACATAAGTGTGTAGAGACTAGGGAAATTTCTCTAATTACACAAAACAGAAACCGAACTACTGTATTTAATAAATGTAAAGAACATGATAAAGAAATTTGATGTGTGTATATGCATGTTGAAATTCTTTTTTAAAAATTCTTTTAAACATATCATATGTAGTTTACTGAAATAGAATCAGAACTTGCAGCCAAAGCTTAAAACTATTCTGGTATTAAAAGTACTAGATTATCAGTAAGTAATCCCATACAGAGTTGAATTTTGAAAAATATTACATATAAACCTATTAATACAAGAAACAATATAGCACTTGAATATACTTGTCAAAATTAGTCAACCTATATTTAAAAAATACCCATTAAGTGTAAAAATATTATGTCTTCGAAATATTATGTTCATTAAGACTATTTTATGACATTAAAAATATTTTGTTCTCCAGGTAAAATTAGAAATAGACAAACAAACAAACAAAAAAAGAAATAGACAAACAAATGTTTAACATAATTTTTACTATTTGGATATTAAGAAATATTCCTATTCTTCTGGTTAAATAAAGAAGGGAAAACATGCTCTGGTGACTTGTTATATAGTATCATCAAAGGAAAATTTGTGTATTTCTCTATGTTTCTTACGTCGTCTTCAATAAATAAAAAAAAATATCCTAGTGAATTTAATCAAAAAAGAAACACAAACAAATAAAAATCTATCTTCCTATAGTGGATTGGTCTGAAAACAAAAGGCAGAACTCTGATTTCTGATGAAAATGGCAAGGAAAGACAGAAAATGGCAAGGAAAAACTGGGTGGTAAAATTAGCATGTAGGCTCATATATTCAGCCAGGATCAGAGTTAATGTACTCAAGGGGAGTATGTATAGTAAGTAAGTCTGTACAGTTTTCTTCCTGGAGAGCGTTCATAGAAATGTATTCATCATATGACTCACAAGACAAAGTTTCCCCTTCATTTAGAAAGTCCTTTTCAACTATCTCAGGTGTCTGAGTTCCTCAACTGTTTTGTGACCTAGAAACCTTAATGGAATGAGTGTACCTACCTATGCTAATAAGAGGAATATAACTGATTGGTCAAAAATTTCATCCTTTAAGGTGATTGTTCATTAGATAAAATGTTACTTACACTCCTTTTTTTATTTTTTATTGCAAGTGAAACCTTGTGATTTTCCACAAATAAAACATGGACAACTATATGATGAGGGTAAATATAGACCATACTTTCCAGTAGCTATTGGAAAACGTTTCTACTATCACTGTCACCATAATTTTGTGACTCCTTCACGACATCATTGGGAGTACATTCACTGCACACAAGAAGGATGGTCACCAGCAAAACCATGCCGCAGTAAGTAAATCTCCTTACAACTATGTGTAAAACTTCCAAAACGTGGAGCGACGAGAGCTTCTAAGTGACTATAATTAAGTCTTATATGACAGAAGAAAGGCTAAGGAAGAGTCGTCTAGGAATAGACCAAAACATGACTTTTCCATTATGAAGAGCTCTTCACTAAAACCACATGAAAAATACATACAGAGACTTCCCAAGAATATCTGTACAATCTGTACATATTGAATAATGATCTCTTTACACAAACATTTGGTATTAGCTTGAGTTTTTCTTAAGGTATACAGTATTGTTGGATATTTATGCAGTCTTCTTTAAATATCTGAATTTTAAATTGCTGTTTTGACCAAATTTATGTTTCTCATTTACTGTTATTTACTTCTCATTTTTGTGGCCTTTAGGACAATGTACTTTTAATTATTTGGAAAATGGACAATATCCATATTATGGAAGAACATATATAGAGGGTGAATCTGTACGAGTCAGTTGCAATTCTGGCTACAGTCTTCCCAATGGGCAGACCAAACTTACTTGTACAGAGACTGGCTGGCTCCCTCCTCCCAAATGCATCCGTGTCCGTAAGTAAACTGCTTTGAGACCCCAGTATGTTTATAATTTTCTAAGGCTCATCTATATTGACAAATATATGGCAAAATGTATATATCAACTTCTTGTTTTGCCAATAGACATGTTTGTTTTATTTTTTTTATGTACATAAGTTGATACACAAATTTTTCTTTCTTTTTTTTTTTTTTTTTGAGACAAAGTCTCACTATGTCACCCTCAGTAGAGGGCTGTGGGGTCACAGCTCACAGCAACCTCAAACTCTTAGGCTTAAGCGATTCTCTTGCCTCACCCTCCCAAGTAGCTGGGCCTACAGCCGCCCACAACAATGCCTGGCTATTTTTTTGTTGTACTTGTCACTGTTGTTTAGCAGGTCCAGGGCCAGGTTCAAACCTGCCAGCTGTGGCAACTGTGACCGGCACTCTAGCTGCTGAGCCACAGGCACTGAGCCAATACACAAATTTCTTAAAAATGGGTAGCAAAATAAATGTGCCCTATCAGTAAATATTGTTAAGAATACAGTAAAAGAATTTGACATAATATTGTTGATGACTTATCTCTAAAGTCTGACAAGTAAATTCCCAAACTTGCCACCATGTCCTTATATTGGCAGCACTGTGTAAACAGCTCCAGAAGGTTTCATACCCCTGGCATGTCAGTCTCTCCCAGCCGTGTTTGTGTTGATGTGTGGCAGTGTCTTGCTGAGTGGTGTTTGTTATGTTGTGTGTTTTGTGTGCTGTTATCACAACGTAGGAGCTTGAATTAGAGCAAAGAACAAACATTAAACTTCTTATTAAATTTGGCAAAAGAGGAAGAGAAATCAAGGACATGTTAACCGAAGGGGATAACACCATGAAGAAAATGGCCATGTATCAATGGATTAAATGTTTTTCCAATAGGAAAGAAAGCATCACTGATGAAGAGAGGGCAGGGCAGCCCATAACAAGGAGCACTGAGAAAAACACTGCAAAAATTCATTGACGTTTATATGTAACATTTTCATATTTATAAATTGAGTGCCTATACAGTGTTATAACATTGTACTATTAATTTACATTTTTTATAGGTAATTGGGATTAGCATGTATGTTTATGGTTTACTTAGTATTTAATTATTATAATCCATAAAATGCAGTTTGATGTATTAAGGAGGTTTTGATACTTATTTGCTGGAATCTTAGTAATTGTGAATATCAATTCTATCAAATACATTTGATACAAGTGCATTTGTTACTGGGGCTAGGATTATTTTCTTTAATACTTATTTTGAATATAAATTGTTCATTTTACTAAAATTCATCAATCGTTTTACATAACTGTTGTTTCTATTGAAGGGAAGAATTCTTTCTTAAAAACCTATGGATGTTGTATGTATTCTGTTGTAAAAAGTTACTGTATTTTCTTGTTCTATATTTTGAATTCATTTTATGTTCAGTTAATTCATGATTATAACTATATTTCTTTTTTTAATAGGGCTCAGGAAACTTTCTCAAATATTGTTCAGTAAAGGCACAATAAAAGGTTTTCTATTCGGTTCCAGATGTCTATGTCTGTATTTTTGTGCCTATATATATATATTGTTCGAGAAAAGCACAATAAAAGATATATATATGTGTGTGTATACATATATATATATATATATATAAAACGGCTATTATTCTAAATACTCTATATTATACTAATAGAAGATAATTTTTCAACTAGTGCTCCAATAACTTGCTATCTTAATTAATATAGGTTTATAAGAAGTTTAAATATCTAATCATCACCTTTCACCCTAATTTTTTCCCTTATCAATCTCTCTTTTGAGTCTGGCCATTCAAAGTCTGATGATACCATTATTTCTATTCTTTTCTTGGTAGACTTATTAAAAAGAGGTTAATGTTAGTTTGTAGCATTAATAAGGTTTTTTTGTATTTTTGGTTTTATTTTTATTGTTGGGGATTTATTGAGGGTACAAAGAACCAGTTTACATAGATTTTATGTGTTAGGTAAAGTCCCTCTTATAATTGGGTCCCATCTCCAAAAGTTGTATCACATACCTTAACCCCCACCCCCCTCCTTTCCTCTCTCCACTCTCCATTTCTCCGACCCTCCACTTTGTACTACATCATTAATTGTCCTCATATTAGAATAGAATTGAGTACTTAGGATTCTTGCTTCTCCATCCTTGTGATGCTTTACTAAGAATAATGTGTTCTACTTCCATCCAGGTTAATATAAAATATGCAGAAATCTCCTTTTTAAATGGCTGACTAGTATTCCATGGTGTACATATACTATAGCTTGTTAATCTATTCCTGGATCGGTGGGCATTTAGGCTATTTCCACATTTTGGTGATTGTAAATTGAGCTGCGATAAACCATCTACTACAAGTGTCCTTATGATAAAAGGATTTTTTTCCTTCTGGGTAGATGCCCAATATTGGGATTGCAAGATCAAATGGGAGGTCTAGTTTGAGTTCTTTAAGGGTTCTCCATTCTTCCTTCCAAAAAGGTTGTATCAGTTTGCAGTCCCACCAGCCGTGTAAAAGTGTTCTCTTCTTTCCACACCCATACCAGCATCTGCAGCTTTGAGATTTTGTGATGTGGGCCATTCATGCTGAGGTTAGATGATATTTCAGGGTGGCTTTGATTTGCATTTCTCTGATTATTAGGTATGATAAGCATTATTTCATCCATTTGTTAGCCATTCGTCTATCGTCTTTGGAGAAGATTCTAATCATCTCTCTTGCTCGTTGACATAAGGGACTGTTGGCTTTTTTCATGTAGCTTAATTTGAGTTCTCTGTAGATCCTAGTTATCAAGCTTTTGTCCGATTCATAATATGCAACTATCTTTCCTATTGTGTACATTGTTTGTTTGCTTTGGTTGTTGTCTTCTTTGCTGTACAAAAGCTTTTCAGTTTAATTAAGTCCCATTTGTTTATTTTTGTTATTGTTGAAATTGCCACTGAAGTCTTCTTCTTAAAGTCTTTCCCCAGGCTGATATCTTCAGGTGTTTTTCCCATGCTTTCGTTGAGGATTTTTATTGTTTCATGCCTTAAACTTAGGCCTTTTATACATCTCGAATCAATTTTTGTGAGTGGAGAAAGGTGTGGGTCAAATTTCAGTCTTTTACATATGGATATCCAGTTCTCCCAGCACCATGTATTGAATAGGGATTCTTGTGTGATTTATCAAAGATCAGGTGGCTGTAAAATGTTAGTTTCCTCGTTTTCTATTCAGTGCCAGATGTCTATGTCTGTATTTTTGTGCCTATACCTTGGTGTTTTAATCACTATGGCCTTGTAGTACAGCCTAAATTCTGGTAGGCTGATGCCCCAGCTTTCTTTATATTACTAAGAACTGATTGCTTGGGGAAGTATAGATATTTTAACAATGTTGATTCTTCCCAGCCATGAGCATGGTATGCTCTTCCATTTGTTAATATCCTTTGCTATTTCTTTTTTTTCTGCTATTTCTTTTCTTACGGTTTCATAATTTTCTTTATAGAGGTCCTTCACCTCTCTTGTTAGGTATATCTCCAGGTATTTCATTTTCTTTGAAAATACTGTGAAGGGAATTGTGCCCTTGATGAGCTTCTCATCCTGTCTGTTAATGATGTATACAAAGGTGACTGATTTGTGGACATTGATTTTATGTCCTGAGACATTACCATATTTTTTTTTTATCATTTCCAGGAGACCTGTGGTTGAATCTTTGGGGTTCTCTAGGTATAAAATCATATCATGAGCAAAGAGGGAGAGTTTGACCTCCTCTGTTCCCATGCAGATGCCCTTTATTTCCTTCTCTTGCCTGGTTGTATTGGTTAGAACTTTCAGCACTATGTTGAATACTAGTGGAGATAGAGAACAACCTTGTCTGGTTCTAGTTCTAAGTGGAAAAACTTTCAGTTTTACTCCATTCAGTAAAATATTAGCTGTGGCTTTTTCATAGATGGCTTTGATCATTTAAGAAATGTGCCACCTATGCCTATACTCTTCATTCTAATTAGAAAAGGATGCTGAATTTTCTCAAATGCTTTTTCTCCATCTATTGAGAGGATCCTATGGTTCTGGTTTTTGTTTCTGTTGCCTGGGGAATTATGTTTAAGGACTTGCCTATGTTAAACCAGCCTTGCATCCCTGGGATGAAACCTACTTGCTCATGACATATGACTTTTTTGATAAGAAGCTGTAGTCTGTTGGCTAGGATTTTGTTGAGAATTTTTGGATCTATATTCATTAGTGAAATTGATCTTAAGTTATCTTTTTTTAGTTGGATCTTTTCTTGGTTTTGGTATCAGGGTGATGTTCACTGTGTAGAGCATGTTGGGGGAAGATTCCTTACTCCTCAATATTTTGGAATGATTTCTGCAGCATGGGAATAAGCTGTTCTTTGAAGGTTTGATAGAATTCTGGTGCAAAGCCATCTGAACCCAGGCATTGTTTTCATTAGGAGATTTTTAATTGTTTCTTTGATCTAAGTGCTTGAAATAGGTCTATTCAGGATATCTATTTCTTCTTGGTTAAGTCTAGGGAGAGGGTGTGATTCCAGATATTGATCTATTTCCTTCACACTGTCAAACTTCTGGGCATGAGTTTCTTTCTTTTCTTTTTTTTCTTTTCTTTCTTTCTTTTTTTTTTTTTGAGACAGAATCTCACTATGTCACCTTTGGTAGAGATTGTGGCATCACAGCTCACACCAAACTCAAACTCTGGACTTAAGTGATTCTCTTGCCTCAGCCTCTGGAGTAGCTGGGACTACAGACACCTGCTATTTTTTTTGTTGCAGCTGTCATTGTTGTTTAACAGGCCCAGCTATTTTTTTTGTTGCAGCTGTCATTGTTGTTTAACAGGCCCAGATTGGGCTCAACCGCCAGCCTTGGTGTAGTGGCTGGTGCCTTACTAAGTTACAGGTGCCAAGCCGAGTTGCTTGTAGTATTCAGAGATGATCTCTTGTATCTCTGTGGTATTTGTTGTTATTTACCCTTTATCATTTCTAATTGAGGTTACCAGAGATTTTACATTTCTA